TCTCAGCATCTCGTTGTTGACTCCATCTTGGTCATAGGCTTTGCGTGGTCTGAGGGGCCTGGAGTTTTATTCAGTAGCTCCTGCTCAGTGATTGGAGAGTCAAAGGAGTTTTTGTTGTCTTCAGTAGCCAATTCCAAAATATTGAGTTTTTCATAAATAATGCTTTGGATCTAATTTATTTGTATTTGGGAGCATTTGGTACAGATTTTCAAAGTATGTTTGCCTGTCCAATTCTTCAGGTTTTGATTTATTTCAAGTGTTCCACTTCTCCCAGAAGCAGTTTTGATTTAGTGACTTCTCAATTTCTGTGAGTTGTTTGTTTATGTATGTTTCTTTACTTTTTCAGTGTGTGTTTGTAATGTTTTAGCATTTTGCAGTGGCTGAGGCACAGATCTGTGTTGCGTAGTTGTCCGTGTTTTTGATTTGAGAGTTGTCATAGTGCTTTTCTGATGTTTTTGCACTCTGTATCAAACCACTTTTCTTTTGCTTTTGTTTTTTGGTAGTTTTTTAAACATTTTTGAGCTTAAAATAATCTTATCTTTTGTCGGTTTGATACGGAGTGTTTAGGAATGTGTCCAATAGTGTCTGAATTTCTCCAGCGCCCAGTGCAGTTTGATATCTGTCCGGGCTGCTTGCGTCCCGTCTGTGCGCCTGGTTGAGGTCGTAAAGCCGGCTGGGCTGTGTCAATGTAGCTCTGTTTACGTGTGCTATTCTCTCAGGGTGGACAGGCTCCTCTAGGAAACCAGCTCTGGTCTCATAAATAAACGCATCATCTGCCCGTCCACGATAAATGCAAAATCCCTTGTAAAAATTATTTTCGGATTGCCGAGTTCAATGGAACATTTTGGTCGCTGGTAAAAAAAAAATACAACGTTTAATAAAGCATTAACCCTTATTAATTTGAATTTGAATGATAAGACACATTTGCCTTTTGCCATGAAGTAACATATTGGTCTGAAATAATATGAATCATTCTTACAGGGTTCGGTGATTCACTGTAATGCTGCTGCACTGCCGTAAGCACTCAGGAAGGGAGGGGAAGAGATCTTGCCGTACAATTCGCTGTCCGCATGCGTGTTGCAAAAGCGGTGAATTTGAGTGGCTGGCGGGTAGGTCAAAACTTTCAGCAAACCCTTCTTCCCCACGGTTTTATTCTACTTTCAGGAAACGTAATCGGAAATAATTCAATTTCCGATCTGCAGCGTCCTTTGCGGTCTCGAAAGCGGCTGCTGAGCTTGGATTTTCAATCCCGGGGCTGGCGCTTGTAGCGTGGGCCGCTCGGAGCCGCGAGCTGGGGTGGTTGGAGCAGCCGGCCGTGCGTGCTGTGTGTCTGGGCGCCGGAAAACGGGGGTTTCGGCCATCGTGCGAGAGGTTAGTTTACTTGTCTTCGGTTAGTGATTTCATGTTTAATGTTGGGATATTGAATTTCCTCGACCACTAACACCCCTATTACTTTTACATTGGAGAATTACACTGGAAAATAGCCCAAATGGAAAACTCTTTAATTGTGTGTTAGTTTATTCACCGCCGAAATCAATTTTATATGTCCGTGCACCCCGCGTAAAATAGTCATGCCTATATTTTGTGGGTTTCGTCACTTCGCTGTCATGCGTGTAGTTATGTTAGGTGATTCAGCCCTGCTAGTATTTGGCTCACAAAACTTACAGATATCGAGGGCCATCTGTAACAGATGTCTGTGGTGTGTCTTTGTGTTGCAGCTGAGCGACAATGGAGGCGCCCCCAGTCACCGTGATGCCCGTTACGGGCGGCACAATTAACATGATGGAGTACCTGCTGCAAGGTGAGACTTGGAATTATGTGGGTTTTCATGTAGACTCTGAAATATGTTTTTATCTGTGTAGTCTAGTGAGTTTGTGTTCTTTCTGCTCTTCTACAGCATTGAAGCCTCATGTTAAATTGTTCCATTGTCTTTTAGTTTAATTTTCGTTACATGACTAAGGTACTGTACCGTAAATTCCTACAAAACTACGATTTAGCTGGTATTTGTACAACCAAGTGGACTCTTAAAAGCCTGAAGGTAGCAAAAATACTCAAGGATTAATAGGAACAAACACTTGGCTTTGAAAGAGCCAAGGTGTGGAGGCACTGTTGCAGCAACCCATGTCACAGGATTCTCCAGTCCTGGTCATGAAGAGTTGACTCATTTGCACAGTGATTCAGCTTTCCTTTACTCTTCTGAGACAGTTATATCCTTAATTGCTCCCGATGCACATGTTCTTTAGCCATTGATTGAAGACAGCAATCAAGCTTGAAGGACTAGGACTCTCTCACGTCTGGGGTTAGAGACCACTGCTGCGGTGCCTTGTCATCAATCAATCAATCAGTCAAGGTTTATATATCAATGCATGAATAGAACAGCATACAGCAGTGTTTTCGGCAATGAAATGCTTTATCCGTGAGCTGGTTAAGTAGAGAGAACAAGCTGTGGTTAGGGTGACGTCTTGAGGCATCTAACAGAGTAGATATCCTCGATGTTCGGTAGCGCGCAGCCGGTACTGTTTTGAGGCAATTTCACCGCCCTCTGGAGCACCTTGTGCTCTCGGGTGGAGCAGTTTCCACACCAGGCAGTGCTGCAGCCGGATAGGATGCTTTCAGTGGTGCACCTGTAGGAGCTGGAAAACATGTGTGATGGCATGCCGAAAGGGAAGTGTGTCGAGCAGTGGCGATGGCATCCTCAGTTGATCTGTTCTGGCTATATGCACATTGCAGTGGGTCCAAGGTGTCGGGCAGTAAAGAGGTGATGTGTGCTTTGATCAGCCGCTCGAAGCATTTCATGATGATAGATGTGAGTACAACGGGGCGGTGAGTATTCAGACAGCTAAGTTGTTTTTCCTGGGGATTGGAACAATGGTGGTTTTCTTGAAGCAAGAGGGGGCTGTGCATTGAGCGAGGGAGAGATGAAATAAATGCACGTTGCCTTGTACAGTGAATGTGCCGTGCCTTCCCCAGGCAGCGTGCTCGACCACTCTCTGGACAGCTTGCTGCACCGGCTGAGGGGTCTGTGTGACAACATGGAGCCCGAGAGCTTTGCGGACCACGAGATGGTTTACCTCCTGAAGGGCCAGCAGGGCAACCCCTTCCTGCTGCGGGCGCGGCGCTCCCTGGACCGGCCGGCGTCCCCCTGGCACCTGCGCTACCTGGGCCAGCCGGAGGTGGGCGACAAGAGCCGGCACGCTCTGGTGCGCAACTGCGTGGACGTGGCTGCTTCTCAGAGCCTGCCCGACTTCCTCAATGAGATGGGCTTCCGCATGGACCACGAGTTCGTGGCCAAGGGGCACATGTTCCGCAAGGGGGCGCTGAAGGTGGTGGTCTGCAAACTCTTCCGCATGCTGGTGCCAGGCAACACGGAGAGCATCGAGGCCCTGTCCCTGTCCTACCTGGTGGAGCTGAGCGTGCTGGCTCCGGCCGGCCAGGACACGGTCTCCGAGGACATGAGGAGCTTCGCCGAGCAGCTCAAGCCCCTGGTGCACCTGGAGAAGATTGACCCCAAGAGACACATGTAGAGCCCAGGCCAGGCAAGAGGAGGCCCAGCAGGGTGTTCTGGTTTCAGCCTGCTGCCGGGCGAGAGTTCAGCTTGCTGGTCGCGTTGGCTGGCATTCTGTGGTTTTCATCTACAGACTGTAGGTCAGAAGATATGAACCTCTGAAACCTTACCATTTGAGAGCAGGCTTTGCTCATTTAGCGGTATTGATGCAACAACCTCATCCATCCGCTTGTTGAAAGATTCAAGGATGTTGCCAGTATTGCTGGGTAGTTTGTTCCAGACGCTTACAACTTTTCTGATGTTCTAAAAGAATGAGGACCCAATTTTCAATCTTAAATGCATTTCTTATTGTCTACTAGTGTTCTCAGGTCCTTCTTGCATGTTGAGCCCTGAAGCTGCTCACTGGGTTCACTGTTGTCAATACCTTTCAAGATTGTGAATACTTGTATCAAGTACCCTGGTACTGCCCTCTATTCAGAACTAAAGACGTTCAAGCTGCTTACGAATGTTTGCAATAGAGATTGTACAGCGGCTGGTGGTGTTATGTTTGAAACAAGCTTTATCACTGGAAAAACTCCCAGGTTTTACATTACAAACATGTCTCTGGTTTTACATTACTAGCATTGAATATATATGGGAAGAAAAAACAAATGTCTTGAATAAAATGTTTTGTGTGAGTTTTCTGCGAAATGATTTCTATTCTTAACTAATTCAGTACTGTACCGCTGTAGTTGGACTTAGTGCATTTCCATCTAGCACCTGTTGGTCATGGAAAATGACTGGAGTTGCTGTCTTTTTTTAAAGAAAAAAGAAAAGTGGTTCCTAGGTTTTAAACTCTCTATTTAATACATTCTAAAGCCCTGTTCAGCTAACAATCTATGCCAATGCAGGCATTTCATTAACAGCTATGAGTTATTTCAGACTAGTTAGTATGTAGAAAGCTTGATGTTGCAAACTGTTAAAAGCTTTAGGATTGCAAATGCTGATTATTGATAGCTTAAGTTGTATCATACTTGTCCCCTAATGTTAGTTGTAAACCCTAGTTAAATAGGAATTAGGAACAGTTGTGTTCAACTGTTAACTGGTTTAATCATATCTGTTATCAATTATGAAATATGAGTTACTTGCTAGAAATCAGATCTTTGATTTGATTGATTTGAGCTGTCTAAATGTCACTTTCCTTCTGTTGGAAAAGCTCATATTGATGTCTTTGTTACTTAAAGTCTTTCTTTAAAGTTGTTTAAATACATAAATGCCCAAATCTATTCCTCTACTTATCTGTTGAACCAAATTGAACAAAAACTGGAAGAGTACAGGGCAGGGCCTTCTCCAAATTGATACAGTGCACCGCTTGAGTGCAGTTTTCAAATCTGAATTTTCCATTTTTGCCCAGTAGGTGTCTCTGTTGCTCTTTGCTCTCTTAGTTGCCTGTAAGCACAGAAACAGCACCTCGAAGACCTTCCCTGCCTATGTGTGCTCAGGTTGCTATGGAAATAATTAGTAGAGAGATCTGCATGGCTCTTTTTCTCTCTCTCTAATTACCTTCCTGAATTGCGTAGAGATAAACCTTTGGAAGCTTCCTTTTTCATTAACAATAAGCAGAGATGTTATTTCATGCTTTTTGTTCTTTTTCTTTTAACCCTTAAAACTCATTCAAGGTAGCAGAACTTTAAAACAAACACGGGCTGCAGTTTCCGCAACTTCACTGAGAAAAATAGTATTCTGATCGTTTTCCATATAAGAGAATAACTGTGTGGCAGTGGTTTCACAACCACCTAGTTCAGGGGACAAGCGATATAGCGAGAAAACACCTGAAAACTGGAACCCGAGCTCATTCAAGCCAACAGCCAGGGGTGCTGACTGCCGTTGCCATGATATTGCCTGCTCGACTGCAAGTCACAGCCTCATCTTGTTTCCTATACATCGCAGAAAATCCTGACATTCTTGCTTTCCCCATTTCTTTGTTGACTGGTTTTCATTAGTGGTTGATTATAACCGCCTCTAATGAGATTGGCTGAGGTCAATTATGATGAAGTCTCGCAGGCATAAATCTGCGTTGCATTGGCTTTGGTGCACAGTAGTTCTAAAGCAGGAGTCTCAAACCCGGTGTGTTTTATATGTAACTGTAAAAAGTTAATCTTTTTAGTAATCAATTGTAAAAAAAAAAGCCATAAGAATATCATTTGTATCCTTCAAGTTATTTATTCCTTTATTGTTAATTAATTTATTAATTTCATGTTAAATGTTTTATTGATGACTCAAGTTGGAACAAAAAGCAGAAGACAATAGGCCCTCCAGTTTGCGTTTAAGTTTCTGTTCTACAGGCTTCACATCACTGCACAGCTCATAATTTGTTTCCCCACCACCACCGCTCTCAATTAGAAATCTGGAATAGTTTATCATGCCAAATTACAATCTTAGCAGAAACCACGGAACACACAACATGCATATGAAACAGGAAGTGACAGAGTAAGAGGAAAGCTGAGATGGGGAGCTACCCCTTCGGTGCCCTCACTCACAGGAGTCGTCTGTGGTGGGCTTTCTGGAGCAGTCCCGGGAGGTGAGTGATGTGCTGTATTGTTTAGTGACATATTCCATCAAAATAAAAAATAGAAACACAACTTCCTTGGAAACAGTCACAATTCCACCCAAACAAACATTATATGGATTATGTTTTTAGTCAGGTAAATATACAAAATATTACTGTAAGCACAGTTCACGTAAAGCATGAAATACTTGATGTAGTGTTGAGAAATGTTCTTATAGCACAAAAAACAATACAATGAAACATTCATTTATATATGAAGAGTTAACCCTAAATTAGCTATTTAAATGGTAGAATAACAGAAACCTCCTGCTAGCAACCTCACCTCAATCCAAATGCCTTAACCTAGTTATTTCTGAAGAGATACTCCATTGAACTACAGGGGGAAGTAACTGCAGGTTTCAGAAATTAGGCTTAGAAAATTAAAAGCATTGTCCTCTATAGATGGGAACCACTGAATATCAGAGGCTAGAAGACTTGACCTGCAGCATAGTTTTATAATGCTGTCCTTTTAACTCGCTTTCTCCCACAGTTTCCCTGGGTCTCATGCTTCGCTTTTCCGGGAAATCTGCTTTTATCCTTGAAGGACAGCCAGGAAGTCACAGTAACACGCAAGAAGGAAGAGCAGCGGATTGAAGGAGCAGGTTGTATTCTCCATATCTTCCTTTCTCCGTAGTTGGGCCTTTGTAGATTGTTGTTCGTGTTAATTTTCCCAAGTAGAAAAGGTTTCCCGGAGCTGTAGGAGAGGAAATGAGTTGATGAAATATGTTGGAGTCGCACCAATGTCCAGAAAGGCATGATGCCAAACAGTTTTGCTTCCTCCAAACACTTCTCCACAGTAAGCTTAGTTTTCAGGAACTGTTTTCAGTGGGCATGACAAATAGAAATGTAACAATTCTATATTTTAAAATACGGTATATATTACAAAATTCCTTCAACATGTCCTTTAAATGTTGGGTACAGTGGTGCACTGGTTAGCATTGCTGTCTCGCAGCTTGGGGCCCTGGGTTCAATTAAAAAACTTCTTCTTCTTTCTTCTATCTTGTTTTCCGCACGGTTTATCTCGATTTTGGCTTCTAACAAATACAGTGATTCAGTACAGATTGGATCAATAACCGCAAAGTTCTCAGGGTTTGTGCTAGAAGGAAGAGAAAGTTTCTCGACTGTGTGTCCCTATTCATTTTTTGTGTCATTAACTAATGTCTGGGTTCTTACTTGGTTAACATAAATTAGCTTGCAAGTCTAACTTATGTATTGCAGCAACATTTCCTATGGCTTCCACTACAGGGAAGGCAAGGGAGAACCACAGGAGGAAGTCCGAATGTCAGGCCGGCCTTCTCTGCTGCAGATGTTGAATAAAGTCCCGATTGTTTTTGGTGCTCCCAATTCTCGACTGGGAATTGTTGAATTCCTTCTCGTCTGTGCCATCGCGAACCCATATGTTTGTCTGCTCTGGGCTGCAGCCCAAGCCCAGGGAGGAGAAACATTCCTCGGATAGACACTGATTTCCTCCGGGCAAAACATCTACGTCTCGACTCCCACAGTATCCACACCCCCCAAGCCACACCAGAACAACATGGACCGTTTTTATGGCTTTATGTAACAGGCAGAGGGCAAGCGAGGAGGGGGACAGGGCTGATGGAAAAGAGGGATTCATTGCCTAAGAGTGAGAAACAAAGGGAAAAAAGGAAGAGTGGGATTATATGAAGGAGGTGGGATGGAGAGATTCTTCTTAAAATATAAAACAAGTGCATTTGTTCTATTTGATTATTCAGCAATCCCCTACCTTTTTCTGTCTGTACCAACATTGAGGCATTACTTTCATTATTTTGTATCTTACCTATCCGGATGAAACGACTTTAATAGGTTCTGAAATAGTCTTGCCTTTCCTTTTGTTTTTGATTTTTAATGACCTCTTCCTCTTTGTTAGCGCCAGCTTTTCCTGAGAATCATATCGGCTCCCCCCACTCTGAACGCAGTTCCGCTCAATGTAGAATAACGTACCGTGATTACAAAGTTCAGGACTGACTTCATTAACACAGGTTGTAAAGCCAGTATGGCAATACTGCAGCATGAGTCTTACAGGACTAAGCCACCATCACTAACTGTAATGTGGCTCCAGTCAGTTTGGAGACATTTCAGAAAGCAGCCACATCAAAGGGACGCTTTATTTGTTCCTTGCATTTCATTTCTTGCGTAATGCTTTCTGGGATGCCTCTTAGTCACTATCTGTTGTTGCTTTTGCTAAAGATGCCGTCTTCCAGTCCAGCAGCTCCAGCAGAAATACACATTTTCTGTTCAACATAGAAAAGTGTCCTCACCACTTTAGGGGATAACAGTATATGAGTGCTGCACTGTTTTTCCAGCATGCTTCATCGGTTCCGTAGCACTGCAATGGTAATTCATTTCTCTGCTGTTTTACTCCTGAGTGGCTCGTTGGCTTTGTAGTCAGAGCTGCTGCCTCTCGGCTCTCAGGTGGTGAGTTTGATTCTGGACTGGGATGGCTGCTGTGTGATGTTCATCACACCCATCAGAAACATACTGAGTGGGTCATCTGATGTCTCCTAATTGTCTCTGTGCGCTTGATGGCCTGGCTTGCTATCCAGAGTGGAGTGCATCCTAGTGCAGTGTGGAATAGGCTCCACATTGCCATAATTGAAATAATAAGCAGGTCTATAAGTAGTTTTTGACAGTGGATGAATGATTGATATGGTAGAAACTGTTTTTGATGAGGCTTGCAAATGGAAGCTATTTAGATTCACTTTTTGATAGAGATGTTGGATGCATGTGAGAGACGTGCACACAGCACGTGACCTCTTTAGACGGCCTGTAAAGACCCCTCTGAATTTTTAACTTCACCCTGTCTTATTCACGTGTTACAAACGCTCATTGCTTTCTTTCTTGGAGGCCTTTTGTAAGCTCTAAGGCTACTACCTCTCCATTCCCAGCTCTCGTCCTGATTTCTGTGCTGAGATAGAAGCAGAGATCTGGGGTTACCAGTCAGATTTCTCTCAGCCTTTTTTGTTTGGAACGAAGGGGTTCATTTGGTACACAATAAATATATATATATAACAGTGCAGAAGCTAATCTGTGTGCAAGTGTGTTATACTGTATGTGGAATTCATTTACTTTTAAATGAATTATAAATAGTGGACAAGATGGCATCCATATGCAAAGAATCTTATCCAGGGCTGTTGCCGGTGGTGGTGCAGTAGTGCAGGGTTGTGCCTGTGGCGTCACCATGCCTCAGGGCTGACTCCTGCCTCAGGAATGTCTGGTATGAGCCTCCCAAGACAGAGTGCCTTAGGGCTCTCCACTTCGACACACTGCGCGGCCTCCACACATCCAGTGGTTTAAATAGATCCTTTCCACCGTTTCTCCTTTTGTGTTATTCCTTTCTTGTTCTCTGCGCTCCTGTTTGTGTGTGTGTGTGTTGCACTTTGGGATAAGAAGGCTGCAGAACTGCAGGTTTTCAGGAGCTTCCTGGAGTCAGACCGTGAGGAGCATCATGGGGTGGGAATTGGGCATAAGCAGGCTCCAGTGCAGCAATTCTTTTGTTTGGTTATCAAACATCAAACAAAGCCCTTCTTTGACTATCTTCTGTGATATTGGTGTGCACCAGTCCCTAGAGAGCAATGTGAAGCGTGCTCACAAGCTATGTTTGCCCAACAGTGCACTCTACAAACACCATACACATTCTAGATGGGTATTGGTGTGGCATGTGAGTCTTGATCCTTCTCTGTGATGACAGAATTCAGTATGCAACGCTGTTGTGTGCTTTTTTAGGTCACTTTCCCCCATTCCCTTAACTTGCTATTACTTTTAAGAAGCTTGAGGTTCTTCAATCAATCAGGTAATAGTATGCATGCTTTCATCACATGATGCTGTGTGATATTGTGCCCGTGTGTGTGTGTAATGTTTCGTAACTCAATGTGTACATGAAAAATGCCTTAAATAGCTCACTGGAGGTGTTGGAGATGGTGTCTCTGTCATTGCAGGGTTGTGACCAGCTGTTTTTTTTCTCTGGGGTTTAGGTGGTGATATGGTGCTTTAGGTCTGTGTGTGGTACAGTACATTACTTTCTGTGAGGGTCGCTGCAAGGCAGTCTTGCACAAAGGCAAGAACTTCAGGGGTTTTACAGGAAAGTACAGCAAGTGTCCCGGAGCCACAACACGTCTTGTCAACAGCAATCCTTAATCCCTGGGCTGGGCTCAGGCAGGTACCAGAACAGAGGCCAGGAAAGCCCCCAGTGTGTCTTGACATGTGTGTATATGAGAGAGATAGAGGGATTTAAGGTAGTCAGAGTGAGTCACCCACACACAGATGCATTCCACACCACCCACCTCACTCCCCGAGCACAGCACACAGGTACGCTCACCTGCTCTGCGTTTTTCTGTACGTGGTGCTTCAAAGAGTAAACACAACCTAGCCTGCCAAAAAAATGACTTATGGTATACCAAGTGGGTGCCGTGCCAGATTGTACAGGTGTATGCAAACCCAATTAGAGAAAGAACAAAGAGACAGGTGCTGTCTGTGGCACAGGAATAAGGACCTATGGTTTCAAGGTTGCCTACTGGCACTAAATATATTTGATAATGGCTCTTCTACGCAGGCTACTACTTGTTTATATAAGCTGGTACCAAACCTGCTGTGCAATAGTTTGGGTTATTTTTAAGTTGTTAAATTTACTTAAGACATGACCCCGTGATAACAATTTGGATATGGTGAAAAGGTCTTTGGAAAGCAAAGTGGAAGATAGTGTTCTAAAAGTGCTTTCCCACAAAGTCACCCATCAAATCAAGGCTGTGTTCAAGGCAAGGGGTTACCTGGGGTCTAACAAACTTAACAGCCTTCACTTAAATGTAATGCCTTGTTGGCTTGACTTGAAAAAGTACTTCCTGGCCTGTGTTATTCCCAACCTGCAGGAGAAGGGTGTGGAGCTGTGTGTTGTGAGGTCTACTCCCTCCTGTCTGAAGGCTTCAGCAGGGGTTCCTTCAGTTTCAGACAACTTAGACAACTTAAATAGCACCCAGCCACCCTAAACTACTGAAGAGTAGGTAAGATATTTAGCCTCAGCTGACTCCTATCTAGAACAAGACCATCCTGGCTTCAGTCATCGCGCTACAGTAAAGTGATGATGCTGTGTGTGCTCACTTGATTTACTGAGGCGTGCAAAAAAAAATCGTATTGTCACTGTTTGCTCCCTTAAATAAGGTTCGTCCATGAACACACTCCCAATTAACAGCAGGAACAACAGAAATAGTGTGTCATGGACCCAAGCCACATCTCTATTCTAATCGTCCATTCTACTTAAAAACCTGTGCCTAAAAACTCCACCAGTCAATTTATCCCAGATTAGCCTCAGCTCTCGTCTTTGTCCCCACAGACAAGACAATCATGGAGGACAACCAAGCTAAGCTATGGGATATGCCTACTGTCAGCCATGACTTAACTTCTAGAGACCCTTTGAAACCAGAGTGAACATGGAAAGCAGTGAGCAAAACTGCTCAGTGTCACCTGTCAATCTACTGTACCTTAGATACCCAAAATAAGGGCGCTATAAATGTAGCATTTGATGCTATCTACTAGTGTCTGTTTTCAGTGGAGTAAACTTTTTTTTTCACAATGCGGTACATGGAAACTTTTAAACAACACAAAACATTTGACTTGATTTGATGCAAGCCAATGGCCATTCCCAGTATAGAAGAAAGCTATTGAGCAAAGCACAGAAAGGGTTATTTCAAGTATTTGTAAGTATCAATGTTGAGGCCCATATTAACAAGCCCTCTGCCTTAAAACATCAACCTTTGTTTGTCTGTTAAAGCACGCTGTGATAAGCGCTTTATGCGTTTCAGTACCAAAGCTAGTTTCCACGCAAGCGCGGAGGCGAGAGTAAAATGACATTTTATGTGGTGTTTTCTTTGGTAAAACTATACTTAACAGGGCGAATAGTTGTATCCCAGTCCGCGTATTGATTTAACAGCTTACTGTACTTCTTACTGCTCAAGAAAGTATCGAAATGCTGGAAGAGCGAAGGACGGTATTACTATGTGTAAGTATATTCCTTTCAGACAGCGCGGAGGGGCGCGAGTTATTGTTTTGACTCTTGCTGCGTTTTAAATCCTTTTAAAGCCCAATGCAGTGATCAGGGAAGTCGGTCCCCATGGGTCATTTCTGCCTGAAAATCGAGGGTTCACGAAAGACGACTTGGCCGGCTGGCTAAAGTTCCTGTTTTCATTCTTTTGGGTGGGAGTCACGCTGCATTCTTGTTACAACTTAACTGCGGTGCCTAAAAATCTACTTTCTGAAGCCGCAGGCCCATGTGTTTCGAATTATCCCCCGTGTTTGTTCTTATTTACTACATATTTTGTCTCTCTCTTTTTTTTTTTTACATTTCTATGTTGTGAAAGACTTGAGACTAGTTTAGTCATGATGAAAACACTCCACGGCGGAGCATTTGAGGTTACGGTCGCCCCTGACAACCAACTGTCAATAGTAAATGAGTGACGTCACCGCTGGGGGGATTTTCCACCAAAAAAAATATACAGCGAAATGCGTGGCAAAGGTCTCCGCCCCATCTGACGCAATGCCAGCCAATGGACGGATGCAAGTGTCAGACGATGACCAATCAGCTCACAGGACCGGCCTTGTGGGTCCTCCCGGTTGTCCTTAGAGCCCAATGAGGAGGCGGGCGCTGTGGTCGCGGCGTGGGCGGAATCCCCTCGGTCAATGTAGCAATCTGAGTGAGTAACACACGTGGGTCAAACACGGGCTGCTATTGAATGTGACATCCACAACAAACCCACCCGGTTCTTGAGAGCAAGAGGCAGACAGGCACGCAGGCGGCGCAACAGTTACTACACGCACAGAGCCCGGCGATTGCTCTTTCTGTTAACTGTGTCACAACCCCTGGTGCCGTCTTTCATTCTCGTAATTAGTATCGGGTATCTAGACTGGACCAAAACCAGTCAGCCCACGCCCTCTTCCATCATCTTGCACCCCGCCCGAGTGGCTGAGGTTTTCGGAGAGCTGGATGACCTGTTTCCCTGGGGCCCGGTACTGTTACGGCAGAGCCCGGTTCGGTGTCCCGCCGGCCAAGGGAAACTACGGGTCATTGCGACCAGTGGGAAGGGCAGCTCCCGCACCGAGCGACTGACTCACCGCAACAGGTGGCGAGATCGACACACTTGTTGGAAGCGGGACTAACAGTACCTGGGTGGGGGCGAATGGAGAAATATAAGCAGATAATACAATAAACGGGTGTACGCACGCTGCCTGCGAAGGCGTCAGGCTGTTATTTTTAAACTCGCAGTTCAGAAGTATTAGCTGAGACCCGGCTCTCAAGTCCGAGGTTCTTAACAGCCATCGGTAAGCAGGTTAGTTGTAATTCTTTACAGGGGAGGTGCTTGAGCGAGACCTGGCCACTGGACTTCGCGGCGTCTGGGGCGCATTTCCCGACCCACTGCGAGGTGTTGATCTGCAACAAGAGCAGGAGAAGGAGATCAGCCCCTAATCATTCCCTTTTGCCCCTGTTGCCACCGTGCCGTGCGGAGTAGGGGCGCTAGCGTGGCTGATCGCCTTTTTCCCCCCCCTGCGAAACCTGTTCTGTAGGGGGAGTGATTCTGTGACTGCTTCGCCCGGTTATTGGATAGCAAGCTGTATTAAACGCCAAAAGCCCCGGCGCGTCATTTTCTTACTACTGCGAAGCTGGAGTGAACGAACGGGGAAAAGGGGGCTCATAAAAATAAAAAAGAGAGAGCTACAATACCATAAGTAAGAATTATAAAAAGGACTGTCTGGTGGGGAACTGGAAGGCAAAGGGAAGGAAGAGCACTGGGGCTGCGCGGCTGATTTCGTCTGGAATTCTGCCGCTTTATAAATGATTCATGCGACCTGATTTTTTAAGAGAGTAATTGTGCTCGCAGTGGGATATTATCAGTTGCGCGTGTGTGTGTGTAGCGGGGGTACAAATCGCCCGAAAAGACGAGTCTTTTTTTTTTTGTTAGACGTGGGAAATTGGAATCAGCCCCCTGTTTTTGAGGGGCGGGGAGGGGGTGATAAAAAAAACTCCATCGATTTCCCCCTTTTCAGATTTTGGTCGAATTTCGTCTGTCTGTGATTATTGCTTAGCCCTGCTGTCATAGCGATCATCTGTTGCTGCACGGCTTGATTAGGAGAAGAAAAAAAAAGCCCTCCCTACTCTGATGCAGCCCTGGATTCGTGTCTCCAGTTGGGCATAACTGAGAGATGGATTGGCTGTACACAGCCTTTTAATTTTTCCTCTTTTCCCCCCTATTGTGGATCGCTCAGGCTAATGGAAACGGGAGAAAGACTATTATTGCTTTTGTTGCTACTATTATCCTTGCACGCTCGGTTCTGATATTGCGGGCTGGTCGCACAGAATGGTCTGTTCACACAGCTACCGGCTTTTCTGAGACAGTCTTCGCCGGCTTCTTGATCGCGACAGACTCGCAGCAGCTCCTGACGGGGATCGGACACCCCTTTTGTTTTGTCATCAACATTTAGAAAGGGACGCAAAGACCACACTCGGATTCATTTCGTGTCCACTTTCGCAGCCGGGTCCCGGACGCATCGGGATAAATGCTTATGATGGAGGAGGACAACGAACTGGAAGCGCATCAGGTTGAAATCGATTCGGATTTCCAGCCCCAGAGCCGGCCGCGCTCATGCACCTGGCCGCTGCCGTGCCCAGAAGACTTCCCCGGAGGGGAGGAGGAAAATGGAGCTTTCCCCGCGTCTTCCGTGAAGCAGGAGCCGGACAACGTGGCTGCCTGCAGGGCTGAGAGAAGCGGCGGCGCCCCGGCGGAGCACAAACACCCAGCCGGCGCCCCGGCACCCTCGGCCGCTGCGCTCCCTTGCCTGGCGGGGGCTGCGCTCGATGTAGCCGGTCAGCTGCGCAAGGCGAAGTCCTCCAGGCGAAACGCGTGGGGTAACCAGTCCTACGCGGACCTCATCACCAGGGCCATTGAAAGCACCCCGGAAAAGAGACTTACACTGTCACAGATATACGACTGGATGGTCCGATATGTACCTTATTTCAAAGATAAAGGCGACAGTAACAGCTCGGCGGGCTGGAAGGTAAGTTGCCTGTGTTACAGACGGCAACACTAATGCTATTGTATTCATAACAAGCATATACTGTATTCGAAATAATTATTTAATGTTAATGAATAATTCAATAACAGTAGTTTCGTGTTAACGCACACCGCAGCCTCAAAAATCGCCTTGTCTGCTATATGCAGACCTACACATTTTGTACAGTCTGGGTACTCGTATTGTTAGCAGTCCCTCCAGACTGTGAAACCGCCGGTTTCCTAACCCGACACTGTCTGTTAAGAGAACATTAGACGCGCTGTTCTTTTTTCGTGGAGGGGAGGGGGGCAGAGAAGCGAGCTTCGTATTTTTAAAAATAAACCTTTGTCAGAATGAAACAATGAACAATTCTTACTAGAATGAAGGGGCTGGGCAACTCTGCAGCGGATTAGTAAATAACAATCCTAAGGCAGCTTTTGGCTGCACTGTACGGACACCAACAGCAGGTAGATGCCGGTATATCGTGTGTGACACCAGTGCGCCTTCGGTCATTTGGAGTTAGGTGCATCTCTCCGACCTCAGGCACACCGTTAGACTAAAACCAGGCTGGGAATTAAATATAGCGATTACGATTTCCACCTTAACTACAGATTCTGGTTTCATTCCTCGCGTGTTTAGCGCAGTGAGGGACAGCGGGTCATCCTGGGGACAGCTGGCGCTACCGGGGGTGACATTTTGACTTGGGTCAGCTCTGGAAGCCAAGCGAGAAAGCTGGGTTCCAGAACTGAGCGAGCCACCGCCGCCCGTCTCGTTCTGTAGCCTTGATTAACCCTGCTTGAACCTCGGCCAACTTTTTTTTAGAAGCAAATTGTGGGTGGGGTGTGTTGCGTGCGTGTGTTGTTAGACCCGCAGAGGTGAATTGTTTCGGTATCTTGCGAAAAGAACACAAAATTCACTTTAACAGAGCTTTTTTTGGGGGGGGGGACACACACGACTAAGTAATAGCGATAAAGCTAGCGAGGGTGTTTTTTAAAACAGAACTACTGGTCTGCCTACCCATCGATCTGCAGCGTTTTAAAACGTTTGAAAGAATATGTATGAGTGTCTATTCTATTTCAAATCCTTAATGTGATTTGAAGACTTTAGCTTGTCTTCTGCTTAAATGAACCAAGTTTTACGCCAAGTCCGGCTGTTCGCTCCCTCTGTACTCTTGGTAACTGGCGCTGTACAATACGCGTCGGATTGCTTAGTGGAATGCACCGTACAGTCTGCATTGTACACTTTCTAATACCTGTTGAGTATTCAATTATATATCCTCTGCGAATCTGTTTCGAGTCTGCTTGATGTGTGTTGTTAGCAAAGTTGTGTAGGGAAACGTACAGGTACCTATCTTTCTCAGAAAGACAATGGTACAGTACCTACCCTATCGCAGATGTGTCAAAATGTCAGGAAGGTGGCTTTTCAGAGTACAAATGCCTATTCTTCCGTCTAAAGTACTGCATGGGTCTGGAGACCCTTTGTGAAATTCCCAGGTTCTTAAGCCCAGACAGCTATTGTAGATGTACGATGTAGATCTACAATGTACAGTTTGTACAGATGTACAATTCTGCTGAGAACTGCGCAGTCATTTCAGATACAGTCTGTCTTTGAGATTGTGAGGCAGACTGAGGAATCCACAAGGCTCCGTCCGCAGAACTAGGTGAGCCAGGAGTCCAGAGGTGGCGGGTCTGTGTCCAAAACGAGGAGTCCTGAGTGCTGAACTATGGGTGAGCTGGATGGTGAAGGAGTGCTATCCTGGGAGACCCAGAGGTGTCACTCAGCAGTGACTCCTCTGTCTCGGTGTCCATCGTCTGGACAGTAGCACATTGGTGTTTCGTTCTTTCAGGAGGCCCTGAAACAAGAGGTTGTTAGATGTGGGCCAGCAGTTTGGGTTTGTAAATTTGGGATGACTAGCAAGTGAGGAAGCCTGGTTTCCTGCAGGATGTTCGATTGAGGAGGCATGCAGCACCATAAATAAAGAACGACAGGCTTTGCTTTTAAAGGTAGAGTCAGGGACCAAGGGGTTGAGCTTTTTTGAGAAGATGGGAGTGTGGAGGAAAAGTGAAAATTTGTCACTACATTTTAGGGACCCATCCCACTCTTCTCCTGTCCCCATAGCCTGTTAGCTTCGCACAGAGTGTCCATCCTTGAGCGTGCAGGTGGGGTTGTGGAAGTAGTGGGCTATTGTGAGAGAGGCACTGCCTCCCCCATCATCCCTCTTCCTGCTTCAGGAACTGTGGGATTGTCCCAGGATGGCCCGGCCACGTTGTCCTCTCGGCCGAACGCGTGACTCGAAATGTGCTTCTTTCTCACAGTTGCGGGAGAGACTGTGCTGCAGAGCAGGAGTATGGCGTACCTTTGGCACAGTCAAAGAGGCGTCCCGCCCTAGGATTAATTATTTGGAAGCCACAAGCTTTTCCATAAAAAACGTCCCTTCAGTACTTTGGGCTGCCACTAGCCCGTTCTCTCCATGTTGGAATTCCTGAGGTCTCTTGGGGACGGGACTGGGTTAGCCTGGGTGGACGGTGTGGCTTGGAGCAACGTCCACAGGCATCTGCTATTGTTGTCAGGAGGCTGTAGCTTATCCATTTGAACATGATTTGGTGGCTTTCATTTACGGTGAAGGAGGCCGGATTGCTCGTGATGACATTCGAATTGTCTCACGTGTCCATAGAGCGCCTGTCCTGTAGCAGCCATCCTGTGTGATCAGGGCGATCTATCTGCCTGTCCACCTAGAAAACATCTGCAAAATAAATCTTTCTGCAAAAATGCACAGGCCGCGGGAGCTCTGCGTCTTGTCCACTGCGAAGGTTCACTGCAGGCAGTGGGAAGCCTGTCTATTTACAAGGCAGGTCCGCTCCCCAGGGGAGGTGAGATGTGGTGCGCTGAGGGGTGTGCGTGTCACACCTGCAGGACGTGCTGCGCTGGGGGCTGCGCTGGGGGCCGTGGTCAGTGGCTGAGAGCCGCAGGGGAGCCGAGCCAGGCTGCGCACTGCTGGCTCCGCTCAGCGGGTTTCTGAGAAGCACACCGAGTTCCTTGGGCCCAGACTCAAGACTGCAGGGAGCTGAGCAGTGTGTGAAAAACTGCCTTAGTTATCACTACCATGTGTGCCCCTCCACAGGGCTTAATGCACCACAGACAGAGAGAGGGAGTTCACTGTGGGATCTTATTACATAGTGTCTGGACATCGGCCAAGCTTATACACACTGCTGGGGCACTTTATTAAGAGCTTATATTTATGAGTGTGTATGCATATGTAGATGGATATCTATCCACCTATCTATCATCATTTGTGTTCTGTTTTGATGCTTTGTTGTGCTGCATGGATCACCAGTCATATCACTCAGTCATCTTCATTTCCACAGCGGTGCAGGGTCCTGCTCAGGCCAGCAGACCGAGATCTCCTATGAAGGCGTTCACGACAGGCTGGATGTAAGCCTCCAAAAAGCGCGGGTCCTAATAAAATGGCCAGACAGTTAATTGGCCTTGTTTACTGTGCTTGGAACAAACCAGCTAATTATAGCGCAATGGATTAAGAGTACTGTGCCATAGTAATCCCTGCAATTAGTCTTATTGCCTATTATACAGTATTTACAGAAATAGAATCACTGGTTTACTGTGTTTTTTGTATTTTATCCATGCATAATTTTGTAAAATGCATGCGTGTTCTGAAGCAGAGAGCTCAATGCTGTATGCGTATCTGGAGAGTCAATGCAGCAGTGGAATTTACAGAGATGCTCCGGTTGTTGTGGGGGAACCTCACGCAGGATCTCGGAAACACAGCCTTGCTGTCTCGAGTGCACGGGCATTTGGCTCACGGCGTAGCCTCTCAGATCAGAGAAGTGCAGTTCCAGGCCGCCTCTCACTCGGAACACATTGAGGCAATGGTGCTAGCTCTGTCAAATTGCCCTTGAAATGGAGCATGTGAAAACTAGGCAAACTGGATACACAAGAAACATATAAGGCAAGAGAAATGCTCAATTACCAGCCAATTTTACTATAAATAATTTAGCAGGGATGAACTAGAACTGGCCCTGTGGTAACTATCTGACACCAAAAACCCTACCAGTGTAGTCGCTGGCATAATTACTAATACTGGCCCGGCAGTGGGAGGTAATCTGAGAATAGGCCTCCTCTCTTTAGTGTGAGATCTGCATCCCATCTTCGTGACAGTTCCAGAAAGCCTTCCACAGTGTTAATGAGGGGTTTGACACAATGCTGTCTCAGAGGATCACTCAGCACACTGAGGTTATTTTCAGAGCCTGTCGAGACATGGCACTTCCTTGGTAATAAGGGGTATTAAGATCTCTATTTAAAACAGGTAGCTAGCAGTAATAGCTCATCAGTGCCCGTGAGTTAATCCTGTCTGAAGACAGCCACTGTATTAAAGGACTACTTCATGTCAGCAGCATTTCCTTGTTCCTAAATTTCTTACTCCTTTTGTATTCCTTCCGCTGCCATTTCTTCAGGGATCTGTTATGCCACAAGCTAACTAGCTATTCCTGCAAAATCTAGAATGAGCTACAGAGCTCCCACTGTTGAATGAAAGCAGGAGATCTGAAATGAAAGACTTTCAGAGGACTTCTCTTTGGTTTACAATGCCGGATGAGTGGGGCTTCGCTATAGTGATTGTTTTTTTTCATGAGCACACTAACCTTTTAAAAACTATTTAAGACAAGACACACAGTTTGCATTCCCCAAAAAATTGGGGAAGGACCACAACTCAGATCAAACACGGAAGCACGCTCTTTTCAGAACGTCGACTGCAGAAATTATTGTTCTGCACGCGAGCGCACTTAATTTTGCAAGCAGAGCTCATTAGCAGTAAAGAAATAAAATCCGTCACGGTCAAACCAATGATAATGAGGAACAAGGTCTATAGGTGCACTTGAACCCCACCTCTTTCCTGCTTAGAACCCCCTGTTTTTTCAAAATGGGTTTGTGCCAGAATTCAATTCAAAAGTGTGAAGATTGACCCAAATGCTTTATGTCACAGAAAACAATCC